CTAAGGGGGATCCTGTGAGACAAAGTACAAGAGACATCACTACAAGCATGAAACCTAAGGACATCACAATGACTCTAAACCCTGTATCTTTCTATAACAACACTGAATGTGAATGGAGTAAGTGTGCCAACCAAAAGACATAGGGTATCAGAATGGATAAAAAAACAAGACCCATCTATTTGCTGTCTACAAGAGACTCGTTTTAGACCTGAGGACACCTTCAGATTGAAAGGGAGGGGATGGAGAACTATCTATCATGCTACTAGAAGTCAAAAGAAAGCTGGAGTAGCCATACTTATATCAGACAAACTAGACTTTAAATTAAAGGCTGTAACAAGAGATGAAGAAGGGCATTATATAATAATCACAGGGTCTATTCATCAGGAAGAGCTAACAATTATAAATGTCTATGTGCCGAATACAGGAGCCCCCAAATATATGAACTGGTTCGCCTGAGACATCTTGAGTGAGGACGTCAACTAGGAATCTGGTCACAAGAGGCCGTACACGAGAGGAGGTGGTCCATGAGAGAGCTGTAAGGACAGCAGTCAAAGCCAAGTGACAAGGTGAAATAATAAGGGATGGGTCTTTGTCAGGTAATAACAACCACATCATCTATCATGTTTCACTTCTGGTTGGGTTGCCAGAAAGTTCCAAACACAACATAAATCTTAAAGGAAAATTTTCTTCTTAGGAATTCTGGACATGATAATCTACCCCTTTTACTTTTCCTCTTCTTTACGGTGTCAGTCTTCTTTCTTGCAAACATAAACAAAATTTATTTATTTACAAAATTGTAAAAATTTTATTTTATGTACAACGAGAAAGGGAAAACAGAAGAAATGAGGCAGCGTAGTGACATCCCTGGGGGAGTCAGGAGGACTGGCCCCCACATCTCCTTGCAGAGTGTACAATTACAGACACATCAGCTGAACGTTATGTGGGGGTGTTGTGCTTCTCCGAACGACCCCGAGCTCCTCAAAGGCATTAACCCTCTTATTCATCTTTGCACTGCTGTGAAATGGGCCAACGTCCAGCTCAGAGTGCACAGACAATACATGTACCCTCACACCATCTGTCACCCATTTGTAAATGCAAGGGACTGAGGCCTTGCTCCAGTATTTTAAAGCTCAGTTCTCAGTTGTTTTAAACAAAGGACAGTGTGTGATTAAATACCAGTAAGGAATGCACACAAACGTGAGGTAAGTTTCGATAAATCTTCAAGGCCTGGGTTGGAAGACTTCAAGGAGGGGAAAAAACAACAAAACTCAACCGGTCTTGGAAGATGCACAGTGTCTGGAGGTGTGGAAGCATATGTCAGAAAGCAGCCAAAAAACAGAAGCAGGAAGGAGTCTATTCTGGCTAGAGGGAAAAGATTTTGAACAACGAAGTACAGGGAGAAGGGAGCTGAAAAAAACTGTGAAGACACAGAGCGGACATCCATGAGTGCCAACAACTTTAGGTTTTAGAGTTTCAGAAAGTTACAAACCGCTGAGAACTTCAAAGAGATGTTGAATGAAGATCACATAAATTCAATGTGTAGAATGGATAAGAGAGAAGAGAAAGTGTCACGACTGCGTCTTTTAAGTTAATAAGAATCTGATAAGAAGGAGGCCACAGGGTCCACAAAGTCAGAGTCCACCCAGACTTGCTGAGTGATGTGCTACAGACAGAGAAAGAGACCATGAAATTATAACCCAGGGTTTGAGACCAATGGGTCAGGAGACGAGCAGTATGCTCAAGAGAAATGAAGGCAGCAGGAGGAAGTGATTCGACAAAAAGGTGGTACCTTTAACTGCAGGCAGAAGAGGCTTCAGATCACAGTGGCCACTCTCTGTTTCGAGACCGCTCCCCCACTGCCCCGCCCTTGCAGCACAACACATACGAGATCTGCTCAAGTCCTTGTGGGGAAGAATTTTCCTTAGTATTCTCACATAAACATAACAGAAAAGTTCTTGCACGTATTTTTTTTTTTTTAATTTTTTTTTTTCACCCTTTCTTTATTTTTGGGACAGAGAGAGACAGAGCATGAACGGGGGAGGGGCAGAGAGAGAGGGAGACACAGAAACGGAAACAGGCTCCAGGCTCTGAGCCATCAGCCCAGAGCCTGACGCGGGGCTCGAACCCACGGACCGCGAGATCGTGACCTGGCTGAAGTCGGACGCCTAACCGACTGCGCCACCCAGGCGCCCCTCACGTATTTTAATCTCTCTATGGGTACAAAAGCAAATGTGAATGGATTTGCTTTTACATAATAAAATTTATTTACAAAATTGAAAAATTTTTAATTTATTTACAAAATTGTAAAAATTTTATTTACAAAAATAAAAGAAGTGGCCAAAACGGTCTCCTACGAAGCACTGTGAGTTCACATTTGGACATTTAAACAAAATAATATTGTGACGGAAAAAGATATTCTATATTGTCTAGCCATGAGAGAACTGCAAATTAAAACCACAAGGAGATAGCAACATACTATGAGAATAGCTAAAAAACCATGTTTCTAATCTAATGATTTAACAAGAAGTGACACAGGTGCAGAGCAACCGGGACTCTCATTACACACTGCTGCAAAATGGGGCAACCTCCACCTCGGACAGTGTCTTACCAAATTAAACTTGTATTTTCCCTATGACCTCACTCCGAGGGACCTACCCAAGAGAAACAAAAACATATGTCCCCATGCAAGTATCTGCATGCAAATTCATAGCAGCTTTACTCGTAATCACAAACCTGGAAACGGAAATGTGTATCACCCAGTGCACAGGTAAACAAAGCCTACTGCAGACCTCCACACAACGGGATACTACTCAGTGACGCAAAGGAAGTAACTTCTGGTACAGCAAAAATATGAACGCGCCTCAAAAGCATATTCAGTGAAATAAGACAAGGCACAAAAGGCTACATAGTACGACTGTATTTATAAAATATTCTGGAAAAGGGAAAACTACAAATATTCTGAATTTGGGTTACGGTGGTAGTCACAAGCCATTTGTCAAAATGCATAAAAATGTACATTCACAAAGGGTGAATTTTCCGGTATCAAAATTACTCAATAAACCAAACTTTAAAAGAAAAAAGAAAAAGATAGCATTTTAACATTTGCTCAAAGACAACTGTTAAGGTGTAACTTTATTATCTATGATTACTCTGAAAAATTCTAGACATTTCTTAACTAGCTAGAATACTACAAATGTCCTTAATACTGAAAAGAAATAAACCTCATGCTTTTTCCCTCTTTGGGCCTCAAAACATTCCTATGCAAAGATAGGGCTGTACGGGTGTGAGTGTGCTGTGTGAATGCTGGTTATTGAGGCGCTAATAAAGTGAGTCTTGTTTCCTGGACAGCTGTCGGCTCCACTGCTCTTCCGTCAGAAACAGAAGAGGAGAGCTCTTATGCTCATGGAATGTGGCCTTCTCAATGGACAGCTGTTACGTCATGCCCAGAAACACTGCCCAAGAACCCATTCTCAGCACGCACCACGCAGAAAACGGTAAAAACAAAAATGACAACAAAAGACCCAAGAAACGATTATACAAAGTACATAGATATAAACTAAGCTGTGCTATTTAAAAGCAGATCACTCCTAAGAAATATTTCTCAATATTTAATATTCCAGACTGTCTTTTTTACGAGTCATGTTTTACCTCATCTTATTATCCTTAGCATACAACCTCAGAGTTCAAATATATCTATTTTTTATTTTTCAAAACACATTTTGTATGAGCATGCTTTGATTACTAATTCCATACAATTATGAGAGTAATGATTTTACCCTTTGTATTATGAAATGCCCACCTAGAAAGTTTGCCATTTTACAGTTTGGTCTGCTATACGCCATTTTCAGTTGAACAAGGGCTTTCAAATTCTTTTGACCATTATGCACATTTTCCGTCGCAACCCGAGAGAGAGAGGTGTGTGTGCGTGTGCAAGCAACACTGAGGTTGTACGAAATAAGACTTACGCTTACCATGAGATGTTCTCTAATATTTCCTTTCACTTAGAGTCCTTAAAGTGCTGTCAAATAGCCACACAATCCATATCATGACACACAATTTTCAAAATCATCGCCCCAGAAGATGGGGGAAAAAAAACCTCATTAACATTTTTGCCTGTTTTAAACACAGGCTTTTAAAAATTCACCTATTTGTCTTTAAACACATGAGTGACCTTCCCTGAGGCTGACTCACAACTCACCACACTCTGTTCTCCCTCGGGGTCCCCAGCTGGCTGGGGTGAATGGCAGAGATGGAACGGACCTTCAGAATCCAGGCCTCTGCTGCAAATACTCGGGACCTTTATTTCTGTCCATTTACCCACCTTGTTATTCCTTGGCCTCTACACACATGCACGCACACACGGAATGAAACAGAATTCCACCAGGTAGAAAAAGGGTTGCAGGAGAGAAGGAAGTAAAGCCAAGTTTTTTCTTAACATCCATGGATTTCAGTCATGCCTGCTGTGCTGATTTTCCAGTATCACAGAGAGAACAAGTTTAAAAGGCTGAACTGGCATATAAATCACACACAAAAAGTATTTTCAACTATCAACAATTTTGAGTTTTTAAACTGCCAGTCAATATTCTATTGTACTATTCCACACTGAAAATGGTGGGCATGTGTGTGAATCAGGCAGAAATTTTATACGAAGATTGGAAAACTTACTTTTAAGGACTCCCACAAGGGAAACTGGACCAATGAGAAAGGAATCTGAAGAGAAAAAAAAAAAACAATCAAATAAATTAGGCGGGAAAGATCAGAGTTTGCCTAGCCCTACTATATGAACCTATAATTATTATTTATAAGCCTTAGTTCATTTTAACTTTATGTGTATAACAAAACTAACATTAAATTTATAGGTGCAGTATATACAGTTTTCAGAAAAAGAGTTAAGCTGTAACTGCCTGTAGAGTTCTACTAACTTTTTGAACCCAAGGGACATAAAATGATGGTGTGAAACCCTTTTGAAACAGAAAGAGAAACACAGTACAGAGATCTGGCTACTGAACTGACAAAACAAATATTTCCTATCACAAGCAATAAGGACTTTAAAGACTTGACATTCTTCTGCAGAACCAGAGCTGTCTACTCCTTAGCGGGCCAAATGTTGGGGTTTAAAATAGAAACAGGGAGGTGCGCCTGGGTGGCTGAGTCAGTTGAGTGTCCGATCAGGTCACGATCTCACAGTTCATGAGTTCAAGCCCCACGCTGGGCTCTAGGCCGACAGCTGGGAGCCTGGAGCCTGCTTCAGATTCCCTCTCTCTCTACCCCTCCCCCCCACCGCCTCGCTCACTCTGTCAAAATTAAATAAAAACATTTAAAAACTTAAAAAAACACACAAACAGGGAGAGGGAGCAAGACTGGGGGAGGAGGAGACGGGGGGGGGGTGGAGGGCAGAGCAGGATGGGAGAGAAAAGGAAGGGAAGGGAAGAAAAGAAGGGGAGAGGAGAAGAGAGGTGAAAAGGGAGAGAAGGAGAGGCCCAGAGAGAGAGGAGAAGAAAGGAAGAGAGGGAGAGGGAAGGGGAGGAGGAGCAGGAGAGTACAAAGGGGTAGGTAGAGAGGGGAGGCAGGCGGAGGGAAAGAGCAGGCAGGAAACCAGAGAGGAGGCCACAGAGCCACTTACAGGAGGAAGTGGAGAAACAGGGAAGGAGGAACAGGCCAGTGTGGCGGTGGGAAAGCACAGCATGTCAGCAGTGCAGGGGCCCAAGAGCACAACTGGGCCTGAGGGCCGGCCAGTCCCCATGGGAGGCAGGGAGAGGAGTCATCTGCAGTAGCCAAGCGTGACACTGAAGACAACCAGCGCACTCACAGTGAGTGTTTGCAGTCATGTGGACAGCAATACGCGCTAGAATGACCAAGCACTTCTCATGTATCAGGCACTGTGCTAATAAGCACTTCCTAAGCTTTATTTCACACATCACAACAACCCTGTGAGACGGGTAGGTATTATTACTCTCCCCATGTTACAGGTGAAGAGGACGTTCGGGGATGCTGTATAACTTGACTGAAGACACCCTAAGAAGCCAAGACAATCTGACTCCACAGCCCCGTCTGCTACTCTGCCTGAAACACCTCTCAGTGCATTTACTGCACATAAATTCACCCACAGCACAACCTGTTTGCTTTCAATGACATTTTCTAAAATTGGAAAACAGAACCACACCTCCCTATTTCCTAAGACAAAAATACCTCAATTCCAGTGAACACCACCCACTAGTCTTGATGACATCCCATCACTGGCCAAAAAGGCATGGCCCCAGTACTGTTTTCTGTACTCACTTGAAAGGAGAGAGTAAAACGTGGACTTTGGACAGTGTCAATATGCATATGGGTGTGTGAGTCTGTGAAGGGTGTGTGTGGTAGAGACCACGATTCTGAAGGCATTAACGGACAGTTACCTTCACACGAATCGAAGGCATTAAATTACTTCTGAAGTATTTCCATTTAATCACAAATTACAAGTCTAATATCATTTGCCTTTACTCTGCTGGAGTAAATGATGGCCCTGAGTTTCAGAGTGGACACAGAAAAAAAGATCTATCTTCTGCTCAGGCAGGAAATGGCAGTAAGAAAAAAAAAATGACGGCAACAGTCTAGGCTGACAGAGTAGAATCTCAGAGAAGTTGGCTGTCTTCAGAGTAAGCAGCACCCCACCCTGGATGTCAAAATTCCACAACAGGGGTGACATTTAGTTTAGTTTTTGTTGTCACCAAAATGTGAAAGCACCTGACAAAACGTCCATTCTGAAACTAAAGTGCTGTATTTTCAATTAACTATCAAGCCCCCCCACCCAAACTGACTACATATTAGTTTTCTAAAAGCTTTTCTAAATTTCAAAAAAATTTATAGTGTGTAATAAAACACGCAAGGCGGCTGTAACAGGTACTAGGATGATAATGACTTTAATTTTCTTCTTTGTACTCTCCCCTCCCTAATGTAAATATTTCACATTTTAATAAGAATGTAAATATTCCACATTAATAAGAAGAAAAAAAGGCCTTACAACTTATTGTAATGGTCCATGGTAGCATTCTTTACTTCTTGATTAAAATAACCTGTAAAACTTCATTGTATGTTACCGGCACTTTTTTGGTATTTAAAAAAATAATAATAGATTTTGAATCCTGTTGATGCACATTTTTCCCATTTTCCTCTATTAAATGTTATTCATTAAATTGTTCCTTCAAATTTAAAGAAGTAATGTAAAAGTCATACAGTTGGAATGGCCAAACTATTCCACTGGGTATTTACCTTAAAAAGTGAGCCGACAGTAAACCCCAATTTACTCTCTAAAACAAGATTAACTGACAGCCTAAGGTGATTAAATGTGCTGTAAACGCTTAAATAATTAAATTTATTTCTGGTTTCTGGTAGTGAAATATCCCTTGTAAGATCAACTCCTGACGTGTAAAAATTTTTCAAATATTCTTCAAGTCAAGATCCTATCGAATGCTTTCAGTCGTTTACGAGAGGAACAAACAATGAAAATGTGCTGCATGCATGCGGAAGGAGGGCCGCCAGCAAACAGTGCTCCACGGCTAAAACAAACACTTCTCCAGGCTGCCCAAGAACACGGGCCTGTCAAAGAGCTCACTCCCTCCCCAAATCTGGTTTGGAGTTACATAACAGTGATGTTTCTTCAAAACGTGGAATTTTAAACCCCAAACAGATGTAAGCTGTTATTCCGAAACGTTTTATAGATGTAGAAAATGAATAGCTGCACTCAGAGGTCTTATATTCCAAAACACAACATACTCATTTTATTGCTCTGCAAGTTACAAAATGCCTCACTGTTGTGACCTTTTTAATGCCTCCATTTAAGATGTTTTGTTTGAATAAGGTTGTTACGACCCAGGGCACTAATAAGCGAGTGGCAGTAAACTCAGCTCCCATCAAAGAGGCAGATGCAGAGAGAGAGAAACCTGCTAAAATTTGACATGGACTCCACTCAGTAATAAGCACAGTAATAATTCTATACAAGAGAGCATGTGAGGATTCCAGGTGAAGTAGACAAAATCAAATATAAGTGTGGTGAGCAGGGGAAGAAGTGTTGGCCATTACTAATGAAATAGAGAATGTACAAAATTACATTACGAACACGCTTCACCTCTGATTAAGTAGTGGACTAGAATCATCACTGAAGCCAATCAATGCTTTGAGCCTTGTGATCTTAAAACAAGTGTCCCTCATCTTATGGTCCTTAAAAAGTAATGAAGTGATTTATAACAAACCAAGGTGATACAAAGATAATGATATCTAAGGTATTATTTACCACCAAAATTCTATTTTTCCGTGGAAAGGTCGTATCAGCATAACACTTTCTTAAATATAAGACTTGATTATAAGCTACAATGATTACATTACTATTATGAATGATCTAGGAATCATAAGAATAAAAAGTATGTTTTAAAAGCTGTGAAAGCTATTGTACCTTGGCAGAAATAACCCCAAATTCTCTAGCAATAAAACAAACAAAAAAATTAAACTTTTTGCTAAGATCTCAAATTAGAACGATTCATACAGCATGGGATTGGTAGGCCTGCTATGGATATCACAATGGGTCCAAGAACTGGCCCATTCCGATTTTCAAGGGACCCTCCAAGTGACCCAAAGAGATTCTCCTTTTGGCTGTGTGACAATGTCCAAATTTTTGTGACTGATTTAGGGTTTTCCACTTCAGTGTTGCAGTGCTAACGAAGCCATTCTCCTCTTAAATAGGCTGTGCCTTTTACCATTCACCCCAAGGGTGACAAAAGACAAATCAAGCTGAAGAAACCTTGTGCCTCAAAGTAACTATTGTTCCAAATTTTTAAATTAAACAAAAAAAGTGAGAGCCATTTAAAGCTGGTCTAGTGCTAACTAGCATTTGACAGCAACGAATTCTAACAGTAAACACACATTGATTTTTCAACTGAACAGCCATTATCGACTTATGTGCACTGTATATAGAGAATAGAACATCTACCTAATAAAGGAAATTAACCTAAAATTAGGAAAAATTTTAAGTGAATTATTCCTGAGGTTTATAAGAGATCCTGTAAGTCCTAAAACATCTTTCCAAAAAAGCACAAAGTGGACAAAAGGGCATCAAAATCTAATAAAGAAAAGGAGATGCATGTGAGCAGTTTGATTCTTAAGTAAATCTTTTAGAACTCAGCCAGGAGCTTTGAGGATATCACCAATCATTAACTCCATGTGCTAGGCACAGCATATCCTTAGTGAATTTTGGCACTGAAGGTAGTGATTATGTGTTCTTTCTCTGCTTTCTACAGAATCCTCCTATACATATATATATATATATACACATATATATATATACACACACACATATGTATATACACACATATATACATACATATGTATACATATATATACACGTGTATATATACATATGTATATATATGTATACATATATATGTATACATATATGTATACATATATATGTATATATGTAT